TAGATTTCAAGCTGGACGGTTGTGCCCTCGCGATCTCCGACGCCAGCGTAGCTCCCGCCGACTGGTTCGCCCTCCGCGGTCTCCTGACGCCGTGCAGCTCTCGCATTGTGGTGCTCCGCCCTTGGACTGCTTCGACCAGATCCCCACTTTCCTTTCTCCTTCTATTTTCCGTCGCTTGCCTCTCTATTTATTCATCTATTCCCTTCCATTCTTTTTATCCCTCCTTCCCCCCCCCCCCAGCCCTATACGGCACGGCGCCGTGTCGCCGCTCAGGCAGACAGAAATTAGGTGCCTTCTTCCTTTCCTTACAACCACTACCACTACCCCTACTTCATTGCGGTTCATTCTAAACCGTCCATGTTCGACGTCGATTGCCTGAACTCCGGTTCGAAGCTAATAAAAAGTGCTTTCTCTCGAGCCCGCCAAGTATATGTTTTCCTTTACACCAACCTTCAATTTTGTCGCCTTTCACCCCCGGCGTTGTTTTGTTTGTTGTTCTTTTTTATCAGTTTTCCTTATTTGCGAACGCTGTCAGGTTTCTAGTGAGATGCCCCGTGGAACCTCGTGGGGCTTGCTGGATTTCGTGCTGACAGGTTGTGCCCTCGCAATCTCCGACGACAACGCAGCTCTGGCCGACTGGGCTGGCCCTACGCCAACTCGTGACGCCAATCTCCTGACGACAGCATAGCTCTGGCCGACTGGGCCCGCCCTACGCCATCTCCTGACGCCGACAACAGCTCTCGTCCCTACTGCCCCGTCCGCGGACTCTTGCGACCGTCTCCGTCTTTCCCATCTTCTCCTCACTTCCGTCGTTCCCTGAACCTGCGCCTCGCTCTCTCCTTCCTCTCCCTCTATCTCTTTACCTTTTTAATCCTATTCTTTTAATCCCTCCTTCAACCCCACCCCTTCGTGAGCTACTGTTGAGGTGTCCTCCCCCTGAGAGACAGTTACGGGGCTCATTTTTCTAATTTCATTTAAGATCACTTCCCCTGGAGCTTTGTGGCTCCGCCATGGTCACCAAGGTTTCTTTTAAAAGCATGGCCTGATCAGTAGGCTGCATGTATGCGGTTATTTGCAGAGCTGAAAAAAAAAGTTGGAAGAAAAAGTGGCTGGTGGAAGACTGCAAGGATATATTTGAAACGAATATATGGCAGTCAACATTTGTAATAAACATGTCTTTTCGTAACCATACAGCAGGTTGCGAGGGATGAACTGCCAACTGGCATATAACATGCTATCATGGTTAAACTATTTTTCGTCACAATATCCTGTATGATATCATCAAAAAGCTTGAGAGTACGTTTTCAAGGCGTGCATCACTTCATGTTTTATATAAACACCACCAAGCAATTTCTGAAGGAGAGTTGCAAAAGAACAGAATTGATGAATTTTTTTAAGCTTGCTCGCCGGAATATTTCGGGTACTGCGTTTTATATGCCTATTCTTTTATTATTATTATTATTATTATTATTAATATTATTATTATTATTTAACTTACATGCTACTACAAGGGCACTCTATCATAGTGTAAGATTTTCGCCTTTTGCATCGAAATCGAACAGCTAGCGGTGTTCCTTAATATTTTGAGAATTATTTATTTATTTTTTTTTTATTTATTGCATACTGCCAGCCACCTCTTGGTGGCCAAGGCAGGAGTGATACAAACTTTCATACTTGCAGTCACTTATAACACTATTCTTCACGGCGCAGAAATAAAATCACCACATAACAGGTTTGCGTGGAACATGAATACTCGGGTTACAGGAGCAACACAAGAGCGGTTCCAAAATACAATCCAAATTTTGTCCCTTATGCCCTTATTCCTTATTCTCTTATTCGGCCTATATAATGCTTCTTTCTTGGTGATTTCTATTACAGTGTCTAGAAATATACACACTGTAAATTCTATAAAATACTGCGATCCGACATGCCCTTCAACCCCCCTCCCCCAATGAGATGACATTTTATTTCTTGAAATCACAAAGGTAAGTGATTTCAAGGAATGTTGTTTATGGTGCATTCAGACGACGGACCGAATCCGGATTTGTCGTGGACGCGGACAGCTAATCCGCGGATGGTCCGCCTGCAGGCGCATCCACACGACGGACGGTGTTCTAGGAGAAAACAGCTGGATTACCCTCGACAGCAGATTCGGCGCTCACCTGCGCCCGCTTGGCAGCAGACCGGTTTGAGAGTATTCAACATGGATGCCCGCAAGAAGCAAAGCTTGGCTGCGATGTCTGTCGTGTTGTGACAAATGAACGAGTAGTGTTATTCTTTCAGGAGAAAAGGGAGTTGCTAGCAGGATATTCTTTCAACTACATTATTCCCCACTTGTAGAACTTCTAAACGTGTCTCCCGCCTTTTTTTTTTTTTTAGAAGCGGCACGTCGCCGGTTGCAGAAGTTGGAATATTTCACCACCATGACGGCTAAGAATCTCGCGTGTTAAGCGACGGCGGCGACATTTCCCGAACCACCAAAAGCGATTTCTGCATATTTAATCACCTGAGAACAGTCTCCGGAAACTAAGCAAACAATGCTCAAGCGTAGATGATGCCGACCAGTCCTGCAGCTAGCTGTCCGCGAGCCATGGAGGACATGCCACGAGCAGACGAAAAGTGTACTGGTTGCCAGAAACCCCGAGCTTATCCGCTGAAGTACCGGCTCTCCCCCGCCAGAATCCCGATGTGAGAAACAGGTTGGGTTCATCCGTCCGCGAGCCGCGCGGACGAGTCGCGGACGAGGGGAATCGCTGATGTGAGGTCACGTGACGCGCCGTCCGTCTCGCCACATCGGGATTCGATCCGTCGTCTGAATGCACCATTATATATGGTGCATTCAGACGACGGACCGAATCCGGATTTGTCGTGGACGCGGACAGCTAATCCGCGGATGGTCCGCCTGCAGGCGCATCCACACGACGGACGGTGTCCTAGGGGAAAACAGCCGGATTACCCTCGACAGCAGATTCGGCGCTCACCTGCGCCCGCTGGCAGCAGACCGGTTTGAGAGTATTCAACATGGATGCCCGCAAGAAGCGAAGCTTGGCTGCGATGTCTGTCGTGTTGTGACAAATGAACGAGTAGTGTTATTCTTTCAGGAGAAAAGGGAGTTGCTCGCAGGATAATCTTTCAACTACATTATTCTTTTCTTGTAGAACTTCTAAACGTGTCTCCCACCTTTTTTTTTTAGAAGCGGTACGTCGCCGTTTGCAGAAGTTGGAATATTTCACCACCATGACGGCTAAGAATCTCGCGTGTTGAGCGACGGCGGCGACATTTCCCGAACCACCAAAAGTGATTTCTGCATATTTATTCACCTGAGAACAAAGTCTCCGGAAACTAAGTAAACAATGCTCAAGCGTAGATGATGCCGACCAGTCATGCAGCTGTCCGCGAGCCACGGAGGACATGCCGCGAGCAGACGAAAAGTGTACTGGTTGCCACCGACCCCAAGCTATTCCGCTGAAGTACCGGCTCTCCCCCGCCAGAATCCCGATGTGAGAAACAGGTTGGGTTCATCCGTCCGCGAGCCGCGCGGACGAGTCGCGGACGAGGGGAATCGCTGATGTGAGGTCACGTGACGCGCCGTCCGTCCCGCCACATCGGGATTCGGTCCGTCGTCTGAATTCAGACGACGGATGTTTTTTTCGACAAAGGGGGATTGCTTTATCCGTCAAAAGAGCTGTCTGAATTCGTCAACTACCTAGAGGGTGTCTTCACTGGCTGCTTTAGCATGAACCTCCTGCATGCCGACAGCATTTTGGACGTGCTGTCACTTGTGTTGGGCAAGGACAGAATTATTGGCTGCGCTGCGCGTGAAGCCGAACTGAAAGCAAAGATTGTGCGCTTCTGCATTGTCACTCGTCTGCACTTCCTAATAAAGGGCGTAAACAGTGCAAAAGAAGAAAGACGTAAAATGGCACAGCTTTTGAAAGTGCGCAGGTGCACATGACATCACAGGATTAGTCATAGCGTCAATTTCTGAGTAGCATAGCATTTGGATGTTGTGAATAAACAGATTGACCTGTAGCTGCTTGTTCTGTTAGACACGAATGGTCGAAAAGTTTGTAGACTTGGCCCAGAGCCAATCTATAGTAAAGTAGGACCTTCTGCTGCAAATCTGGACCCTTACTCATTTTCTCCTATTGATGCATGTTAAGCGACCTTAGGAACGCTTGTTTTCAGCCTTCAATTATGTCGAAGCACTTCTCTCGGGTATTCACTCTCGCTCCGCGCTCGTCCCTACCTTGGTAACCTAACCATAACATTTATTATAACATTTAAGCTTCACATATTTTTTTCAAACCCTGGTTAAAAGCACGAAATTGATTTAAGTGTCAGCACTGGTAGTTTATTTCTGTGTAGTGCACTCTCAGCATACCTAAGTAATTTCGCGAGCGGTCGCTGCATGCTCAAAATATTGTAATTTCGATAATGAAAGAGGATACTGAAGCATTAAGGCAGATTTGAGGGGTGTACAGAAGTGCAGAAGTACGTCAACGGCAGCGATCACTCTCGGGCGTTCAGAACGGCTGACGACGGCCGCTGCAAATTTTCATTGAAAAAGTTGTAGCGCATTGATACTGCCTTCACTTCTGAACTGCAGTGGCCGCCACGACACTTCGGTGATTCGTTTCTTAGAGAAATGTGACCCAATCAGTCATTTGGTATCATTGACCCATCGCTGTCCGTGTTCTAAAGGAAACACAGAAAATACACGCACGCATTCGTTGAAAAGCCTTGTAAGACACTTCGAATGTATTCTTACTTGTTTTCTTCTACCCTCGGGTCTGTATGTAGATCCTGTAAATAGTAAAAAACAGGGCGAAATGCGAGAACGCGCGGCTGTCTTTCGTGTCCTTCTTGTCTCTGTGTCGTCGTTTTGTTCTCGCGCTATAACTATCGTCATGCCAATGCGCGTTGGCACACTTGATCGTGACCAATCCACCTCGCCCGCAGCGCCCCCTATTCAATCAACGAACGCCGCCTCAGCAAGAGCGCTCCGTTCGTTCCACTCACACCATTATAGTAGACTCTAGTGGTAGTAGAGTCACAGAACACATATACACTACGTAGAGTGTACTAGAAGTACACCGTAGTGGTAGTGTAGGCGTTCAGTACCAACGCTGTACCTGAAGTTGCGTACACTGTACCTGAAGTGAGTGTTCGTGGACGCGCTGTGTCGCAGGTTGAGGCGGCGCAGCAGTAGCGACCGAGTGAAAGGGAGTCCGTGTACCGGCAATCGCCGACCGAGAAGTTGCGCGGGGCCTTTCTCGTGGCAGCGGCAGTTAGCCGGCCGTGCGCTGTCGCAGGCCTGGGTAACCTTCTGACGAGCGTCCGCTGGCAGAGCGACGACGGCCGTCGTACCGGCGACGACGAGGCCATGTCGTCGTCGTCGAGCAAGCCGAAGCGCTACTTCGTCAACACGCTGCCCGACTACGATGGTGCGCCCATCCCGCTCGAGCGGGAACTGTGGGTCGAGCGCTGCCGCGACACGGTGCAGCGCGTCTTCACGCATCAGGGCACGGGCTTCGACGACTGCGACGGCGGCCTCTACGTCGGAGTCGCCGGCGTCGCCTTCATGGCGCACCGCGTGGCGCAGAGCCCGCACTTTGTCGGCGACCGAGCGCGCCTTCTGACCAAAGCGCAGACCTACCTGGGACACGCGCTGAGCTACTGCGACCAGCCGCAGGTGCGCGCCGACCGAGCCATGCAGTCGGCTTTCCTGCTCGGCAGCGCGGGCGTCTGGGCGCTCGCCGCCGTGGTCGCCAACGAGGTGGGACGCAGCGACGACTGCGACAACTTCCTCGCCAGGTGCGTCGTTCACATGACCGCGTTCGCTGGGCGATCGGATCAATTGCAACGTTGATTTGCGCGTATGCTTTCCAATGTGTTCTATCGAGTATAGTTCAGACGTACCGCTTTTGTTCTCTCCGAAAAAATGAAACCAGCGATACCTTCTTCTCCTCTTCTCGTGGCTCATGCGAACCTTTCTGAAGTTTAATCCCACGCCTGTCTTCAAGCTTTATTTTGCTTTAAACAGTTTGAAATATATATGTGCCGTGCAATTGAATTTCTATTATGGTACGTAGTACTTGACCTTACTGTAATAATTCTTCTACATGTAGTCTTTTTTTTTATGCAGCTATGACACTAGGATAACTTATTGGCATGGCTTCTAAAGGGGCTTGAAGGCACATATTTATTCACATATTGATAAAAAATAAAGATACAATACATTTTTTTATTACTTAATGATTTTGCATATGCTAAGCAGCAATTAATGCATAATAATATGCAGCATTAATGTGGCAATACTTGATTACTGTGCCAATATGGCTTATCTGAAATGTGTTGAGTGGTATTATTGTGTATGCATGAGTTGATTGATGATTGATATGTGGGGTTTAACGTCCCAAAACCACTATATGATTATGAGACGCCGTAGTGGAGGGCTCCGAAAATTTTGTCCACCTGTTGTTCTTTAACGTGCACCCAAATCTGAGCACACGGGCCTACAGCATTTTCGCCTTCATCGAAAATGCAGCTGGGATAAGATCCCGCCACCTGCGAGTCAGCACCCGAGTACCTTAGCCACTAGACCACCGTGGCGGGGCTGTATGCAAGAGTGGCACTGAACTTTTATTACAACAAGTTTGTCAAGGTTTGCTTGAAAAATTTTTTCTTCAACTTTCTTCAGAATGTAATTTTAATCAGTTTTGTGAGATTATTTTTTTCTTCATTGTGTGCCGTGACTGGTAAATTTTGTATCAATAGTTTACAGGAACTGTTTTAAAAGTTCCAGAGCCATTTGTAATATTGTTTTGTCAACTACCCTTTTGTGTTGTTTGGCCACTTCATCATATAGGTATATGTATTGCAAAAAGTGAAATCCTCAAACAGCTCAAAATTCAAAGAAAGCTTTGCACCAGATGGTGCATCAATTGTGAGATGAATATCAGTGGCACAGACAGGTGAAGTATTGAGAATGGTGTCCAGAACGGTTGTATGCTTTCTCCATATTTACATTAAGGGGCCCAGGCTGTATGTCAGATGCATTTGTCGTCCAGCCTAGTCTAGGGGAAGAAGCCACATGTAGCATTGCCGTTTGCGCTCTCGGCAAAAAGAAGCCTGCATCTGATTGTTCTTCAAACACCTTGATGATAGGAATAGAGGTGAAAAACAGAAAAAACTTGAAAATATGGAGCGAGAAAGAAGGCTGCATGCCCAGCTGTTCATTGGGCTTGCCACCTTTAGTGCAAAAGTGACCTGAATATTCATTCACCCTGATTTGGGAGTTAAGTGGAGAAGGTAACCAACATATGCTATGCAAATTGTATGTAATGCAATTCTGAATGTTAATGCCTACACTGGGAAGATATTCATGTCCAAATGAAATGTTTCAATCTGTATGAGCCAAATACAAACTTCACTCCACAATACTGTCGATATTTGGCTATGTAGGTTTTAGCCACATTATAGATTTGCGGTATTTAGGGGAGAGGAACATACTGGTAAAAAGTTGCTTGAGCAGCATGCCCAACCCTATTGTCAGTAGGGAAACGAGTGTTTTTCTCTGTTTCATTTATAGTGCATTTGGCTTTTTAAGAAAAAAACGCTTCATATATATATATATATTCAATGGGCCAGTTAGTCTTCATGAAGGTACGGGAGCGTTGTCAACAAGGATAAATATATTTATTTCCCAACAGTTTCGGGAGGGGTCCTCCCTTCATCAGGGGATGAGTATAAGTCATCCCCTAATATAAATATATTTATCCTTGTTGGCTCCCGTTGTGCCATATCCCGTATATATATATATATATATATATATATATATATATATATATATATATATATATATACGCTGTGATAGCTCAGTGGTTAGAGCGTCGAACGCGTTATTCGAAGGTCGTAGGTTCGATTCCTGCTCACAGCTGGTAATTTTTTCATCCACTTTTCTTTCTTCTTTCTTCTTATTTACATTCCATTGGTTCTAATAACTTCCCCTGTACATTCCTTGGCATTACTGTCTGTTATATCTCATTAATATTGTGTTAAAACACGGAAATACGAGCCCTTAGGTATACACTTCTCTCCCTTATATATATATATATATATATATATATATATATATATATATATATATATATATATACGTGCATACATATACACACCAGCTGACGGGTAAGGTAGGCTTGCCCCCCCCCCCCCCCATTCGCGAAAGAGTTGGTATGCCTCTGAGTACAAAAGCCGGTAAATCATGACTTTTCACTCCATGAGCATGGTATACTGTTTTGTTGTCACAGGTATGCAGCCGTGGCAGAAATCTGCATGCCAGTCAAGTTCTTGGACTGTGGCAGTGACGAGATGTTTGTCGGCCGGGCCGGTTACCTCACGGGACTGCTCTATGTGCGCTCTCGGCTGGGACGAGAGGTACGTACCGCCAGTGTGGCTAAATGTGCTACATCGACCATTGCCCCGCCTTGTGGCAAGAAACGACTGCAGATGCACAGGATTACTATTCATGTGTTAAAAAAAGCTTATGGTCTTACGGTGCAAAGCTTTGAACAAAATGGTGTCGGGCACGACACCATTCCCATGATGGAAAGCTTACGTCCATTGCCTTTCCAGGTTGCCTTTACCTGGATCATATGTTCTGGACTGCTCGGTTCGTGCAACGTAGTTGCAGATTCCCCTCCAAAATGGCTGTAATGGTTGCACAAGATGCCAAGTTTGGAGCCAGCTGGGCAGCTCATCTGGCAACATGGACACAGCACAACTGCATTGGAAGCTGCTGACACCCTTCATAATCGTCAGTCAGCAGCGGCTTCTTTTGGGCACGACACCATTCCCAGAATGGAAAGCTTACGTCCATTGCCTTTCCAGGTTGCCTTTACCTGGATCATATGTTCTGGACTGCTCGGTTCGTGCAACATAGTTGCAGAAGATTTCCCTCCAGGATGGCTGCAATGGTTGGACAAGATGCCAAGTTTGGAGCCAGGCGGGCAGCTCATCTGGCAACATGGACATAGCACAACTGCATTGGACGCTGCTGACACCCTTCATAATCGTCAATCAGCAGCCGCTTCTTCCGGGCACGACACCATTCCCAGGATGGAAAGCTTACGTCCATTGCCTTTCCAGGTTAGTTACCTGAAAGGTGCTACTTGTGTTAAATCCAATAATTATTGTTTGTTGGCGGTGTCGTGCCCACGAGACCTAGAAGATGAGTTTAAGCGAATTATAGTTTGTGCATCGGAAATGTGTTATGCTTTGTCTGCCTTAACACTTATGTTGTCTGGCGATGTTGAGCCAAATCCGGGACCAATGACTAAAGCTCAAGAAGAGGTATTTTCTGCTGCTCTAGACACAATTAAAAAATTGGAAGAGGCACAAGCAGGCTTGCTTTCCAAGCTAACTAGTGCGAAAGCTGGTCATGCTGCTGCTCAAAAAAGGATTGATAAGCCAGGAGAAAGGCAGGAAACACTTCTCGCAGAGCATAATATTTCGAAAATGAAACAGGAAGCCATTTAAGACGAAATTAAGTTGGTGAACGCAAAGATTGCATCACTGTCACTTGCTTCTACGTATGGAAGCAGCTCGGGTAATGCCGAAGCTAGTGCTAACGCCCTTCGCCGTGTATCTGATGGATTGGCCACTATCTCTTCTCAGTGCGAAGACACTGAGAACAGAATGCGACGCTCGAACTTGCTTTTCTTTAACATTGCCGATGACGAAAAAGAAGACTGGGCTTTGTCCAAGCAGAAAATTGTGGAATTCTGTTCACAAAAGCTTGACATTAACTTATCCAGCACAAATTTCGAAAGAGTGCACAGGTTAGGCAAACATGCTGACAGCAAAAAGAGGCCTATCATTGCGAAAATGACCTTCTATAAGGACAAAGAGCGCATCTTGTCCGCTGCAAGAAAGCTCAAGGGGTCAGAGTTTTCTATTCGGGAAGACTTCTCTCCTGCTATGCGAGAGGTAAGATGAAAGCTTATCGAATTTGCCAAGGCCAGAAAAAAATTCTTTAAGCTATCTGTTGACAGATTGCGCATAGATGATGTAACATACGTTTACGACCACGCAACAAGCACGGTAGTGCGACTATGCAGATAGCTAAGGCGTGGTACTCGCACCTGTGAATTTAAGCAGGTACCTGAGCCTCAAAATTTACCCTCAATCACCATATCATGTACTAATATTTGCAGCCTTCTGCGAAAACTGGACCAGGTCTGTTCCTTCTATTGATGACACGGGTTCTGACGTAATCATCTTCACTGAGACATGGCTTCATGCAGATATTTCAGACAATGAAATCAGTCCCCTACAAAATACCTACAACATTTACTGTTGCGATGCGTTGACAGGAGGGGTGGAGGCGTAATTATAGGCATTAAAAGGCAATAACCTCTTATCTAATGGTGTCTGCTACAAATATATAAATTGTATGGGTTGTTTGCAGAACTCGATTTGAGAAATTATTGATTGGTTGCTGCTATTGCCCTCCAGACACTAATCCATCATTTCTAAGCTACTTACGAAGCACCATAACTCATGCTGTTAAGACGTGTCTTACTGAGCTCGTTTATTTATTTGGCGACTTTAATTTTCCTTCAATAAACTGGAAGCTTCTTTCATGGAATTGCCATGTCTCCACTGCGTTATTGCCTTAACATTAGATTTTAACCTAGCCCAGATCATAAGCCAACCCACTTGTGACTCGAATATACTTGACTTGGTATTAACAACGGCACCAAATACTATATCAAATATAACATACATAGATGGCTTCAGCGACCACCGGATAATTCAAATGATTCTTAGCGTCCCAATTCGTCTCGCTGGAGCTAGAACGAAAACTATTCGCGATTATAATAGAGGTAATTACATTGTTACAAATGATTAATTATGTACGTTCTTTGAGAGTGTACTTTTACCCTCCTTTCATAATTGATCCGTAGAAGACAACTAGACACTCTTCAAAAACAAGTTAGCTCCATTAGTTAGTGAACATATTCTTACAATCAAAATAACAAATGATAAACAAAATTCATGGTTTAATAAATCACTTAACAGATTAAGAGATAAAAAAAAGTAGATTGTATGCGGCGGCTAAACACGCGCAAACTGCTGCTTTGTGGAAAAGGTATAGCAACTTCTTGAATAGCTACTACTCCGCGATACGCGCCGCCCATGATAAGTATTTTTCTCATGATCTACCGTCACTGCTCACCACTAACGCTAAGAAGTTTTGGAAACAAGTGGGCCTAGAACGTCACGATAACAAAATCACGTTGCAAAATGATGACCACATTCCCATTCCAGGTCAAGACTGTCCTAACACTTTCAATACTTTCTTTACATCAGTTTACACCACTGAATATCATACAAACGTCCCCGATGTAGCCGATATTGACTATCCCTTTTTGCAGCCCATTGAAATCACTGTTGAAGGAATCGCATCTATAATAAATAATCTTAAACTGGGCACGTCAGCGGGCGTTGATGAGATTAACACTAAGATACTAAAAAGTACAGCCTCACCCTCGAGTAAAATATTATGTCACATCTTTCAGCATTCACTATCAACAGGACAACTTCCACATGACTGGAGAATTGCAAAGTACATCCCCGTGTTTAAAAGCGGCAATAAAAACTCACTTCAAAATTACAGACCCATTTCTCTGACATCCATCTGCTGTAAGACGCTTGAGCATATAATCGCCTCCCATATTTACAATCACTTCGAGCAGAATGATTTTTTCTTCCCAAGCCAACATGGATTTAGAAAGGCCCAATCATGCGAAACACAGCTTTTCGAATTCACGACTGACCTGCATCATCACTTGGATCTAAACTTGCAAATTAACTGTCTTTTTCTGGATTTTTCCAAAGGTTTCAATCATGTTGCTCACTGCCGCTTAATCTCTAAACTCTTTTCTTTGTGTATAGATTCATCAACTCTGTCATGGATACGGAACTTTCTTACTAACCGGCAGCGATTCACCATTGCTAATGATTTTTCATCCCCACTTTCATACGTTTGTTCTGGTGTGCCGCAAGGAAGTGTTCTCGGTCCACTGCTTTTTCTTATTTATATGAATGACTTGCCAAGTAATTTATACTCACAAGTGCGCATTTTCGCTGACGACTGTATAATTTACCGAGCAATCACGTAATAATTCAAAATGACCTCGACCTCATCAGCAATTGGTGTAATAGTTGGCTAATGTCCCTTAATTCAAGTAAATGTAAAGTAATGTCCTTCTCTCGCAAACATTCTAACTCTGAGTTTTCTTACTTTATTAATGGCGATCCCGTATCTAGTGTTGATTCTTTTAAATATTTAGGTGTAACCTTCACATCTAACCTTTCTTAGACTACCCACATCACCAACATCTGCAGTGACGCCTCACGATCAGTAGGCAACACACCGCAATCTACGTAAGACGCCCACAAATATACGTGCTTTAGCTTACGTAACATTTGTTCACCCTCAGTTAGAATTCGCTTCTGCAGTTTGGTCCCCTCATTACAGCTATTTAACTAACATGCTGGAATCAATTCAGAATAGAGCGGCTAGATTCATCTCACAAAACTATGATCATAGTGCAAGCATAACACAAATTAAAAAAACTTATCACTTTCCCTTTTGAGCAGCCGACGTGATCTAAATCTCCTTTCAATATTTCATAAATACGTACATGAAACAAGGCCATTATCAATGACATTGCAAACATCTGCATTCACATCAAAGAGACTGAATAATCATTTTTCATTCACACGCATATATGGTAAAACATACATTTTTAACTCATCTGCACTCCCCCGTGTCATCTGCATGTGGAACAGCCTTCCAGATGAAACCATAGCTGAAAGCAATCGGGAAAAATTCCGGCACCTTCTACTCACCCATTTCCAGGATTAACTGGTCGTTTTATTCATATCAAAATCAGCACCTACGCGTTTTTTGCACTACTAGTATCTCGCTTTTTTTTCTCTTGCTTTTAACTTTTTTTTGATGGTTTGAATACTAACATGCCATTCAGTTCTGTTGTGTATTCTTCAGGGATGTTTTCTTGTGAATAATGGGAAGCCTTTTCACAATTTGTGCTTGTTTTTTTAGCTTGTTTTACGTCATTATCTCACGCGCATACTCATCTGATTTTGATTGCCGTTCTATTCCTATTAAAATTATTATTAATAATTTCTGATTGTTATTCCTGTTAGGACTCGTATAATGATTGACAATTAGTTCATGTTATTGTTTGTATGGAAATTGTACCAATTTGTGTTTGTATTCCTTTTACGCTCCCCTTACACAATGCCCTGTTGGGTCTGTAAGGTATTTTGAATAAATAAATAAATAAAATAATCTGGTTCCCAGATTTTGAGTATTTAGCCTTTATACAAGGTCTTGCTTCTCTTTG